ATACAGTGTCACAGACCAGCAATCTGAGTGGCCCCGCCCTGGTGAACACCTAAGACTCCTCTCCTCATATGTAACAGGCACAAACAGATCAAAACATGTCTCAAGAACAACTCAGAGCCCCAGACCCAATAAATCTAAGCGATGAAGAAACAGCTAAACTTTCAGATGCACAGTTCAAAACACTGGTGATCAGGATGCTCACAGAACTGGTTGATTTTAGTCACAAATTAGAGGAACATATGAAAGCTAAACTAATTGAAATGAATGAAAATGCACAGGAAACCAACAGTAATGGAAAGGAAACTGGGACTCAAATCAAGGGAGCAGACCAGAAGGAAGGAAAAAATGACCAAACAGAAAAATATGAAGAAACAAGAATTCAAAAAAAATGAGCAAAGGCTTAGGAACCTCCAGGACATCTTTAAACATTCCAACATCCGAATTATAGGGGTACCAGAAGGGGAAGAGGAATAGTCACCAGTGGAAACCTTATTTGAACAAATAATAAAAGAGAACTTCCCCATTCTGGCAAAGGAAATAGACTTCCAGGAAATCCAGGAAGCTCAGAGAGTCCCAAAGAAGTTGGACCCAAGAAGAAACACACCAAGGCACATCATCATTACATTAGCCAAGATTAAAATGAAGGAGAGAATCCTAGAAGCAGCAAGAGATAAGGGGACTGTCACCTACAAAGAAGTTCCCATCAGACTGTCAGCGGATTTCTCAAAAGAGACCTTACAGGCAAGAAGGGGCTGAAAAGAAGTATACCAAGTCATGAAAACCAAAGACCTATAACCAAGATTGCTCTATCCAGCAAAGTTTTCATTTAAAATGGAAGGACAGATAAAGTGCTTCTCAGATAAGATCAAATTCAAGGAGTTCATCATCACCAAGCCCTTATTATATGAAATGTTAAAGGAACTTACCTAAGAAAAAGAAGATAAAAAAGATGAACAGTGAAAGGACAGCAAACTCAGTTATTAACAACCACACCTAAGACAAAAGCAAACTAAGAGGACAGCTAGATCAGGAGTGAACCATAGAAATGAAGATCACATGGAGGGTTAGCAACAGGGTAGTGGGAGAAGGAGAAGGGGGGAGAAGGTACAGAGAATAAGTAGCATAGACGGTAGGTAGAAAATAGATAGGGGGGAGGGTAAGAATAGTATGGGAAATATAGAATCTAAAGAACTTGAGACACATGTTCATGAACTAAAGGGGGGAATGGTGGGGGAGGGGTATGCAGGGTGCAGGGGAACGGAGGGGGGAATAGAGCAAATGTAATGGCATAATCAATTTAAAAAAATTTTTTAAATAATAAAATAAAATAAATTTCTTTTGGGCCTTTTTTAGTTTTCTTACGTGATTTTCCTAATTTCTTTAGAGATTTTATTTATTTATTCTTGAGAAAGAAGAAGAGAGGGAGTGAGAAAGAAAGGGAGAGAAACACTGATGTGAGAAATCAATCGCCTGCCTCACACATGCGCCCCGACCAGGACTGGCCCACAGCCCAGGCATGTGCCCTGCCTGGGAATCCAACCAGCGACTCTTCACTTTGTGGGATGACACTCAACCAACAACTGAGCCACACCAGTCAGGGCTGTTTCCTTAATGTAACCAGCAAATTTTTCATCTAATTCTGTTGCCTTATTTTGTCTTTTCTTTCATACAGGTTTTTTTCCAGAAGTTTGTCGAAAATACAAAGTTACTAGACAGTTAAATTTTACTTGACTTTCTATAGTAAATCCTTTTCAAAAGGATTATTTCCCCGCCTTTTAAATGCTAGGCTATGCTTTTTTAGATGCAGAATCTTTTCTTTCACTGATTCGTGAGGTTCTTGTTCTTCTTCCCCATGTTTAAATTTGAAAAGGAAGAAATCTATTCAGGCTTGTTATTTGTTTCCAAATTGTGTGTCAGTTTTTCTGGGCTACTCTCAATGGCACACACAGGCTGTTAAAACAGTCTTCTCAGGTTTTAGGCTGAAGAGCTGGTTGTCGAGAGACATCGATCAAATAATCAGAAGCCTATGAGGAAGGAGGAAGAAGCTCAGACAGGGGACAAGGAGTCACCGCCAGCAGGAAGTTTCACCTCCGCATAATCCCTTCTCTGTGTCTGGTAAAGCAGGGCCAGCTTCTTTTATGCCTGGTTTTCACTTTGGCCTGGCCACCACTCCGAGGGCATGATGGGTCTGTCCAACTTGCTAGCTGGTGTATTGGCTTCTCTCCGCCACCCTATCCACAGGCTTTCTATCTGCGAGAGCCACATTTGAGCTTGCCCTTGGGCTCCCCGTGGCAATGATTTCAAACACTGTTGGCTCAAAACAACCAGTGATTCCATGTAGAAAGACACTGACTATTCCAGGGTGCTCCTTCACTTCTGAAGAGCACAGGACTCCCCCCAAATCTCCAATCTCCTATATTCCCACATGCCACTGCTTTCTCAGGAAGGGGAACTGGAATTCAACTTTCAACATCCCTACATTTTAGTCCTAACTGCCCATTAGGTCACCAAAAAAATCAGCGTGTTACCACATTCCTGGCATCTTTCTCTCATTTTCAGGCCTGATGCAGCATTTCAGATAGGAAACAGTATGAGAAAAAAAGGTTAGATCCTGACGTTTACCTGTCGTCTGACTCAGAAACCCTACCCAACCTGGGTCAGATTTTTATTAAGAAAAAAGATAACTCTCTTTACAGAGGTTCACCTAGCTCAAAGTCCTGTTTGGACATGAGGGTGCAGGTAAGGCTCCCTCAGAAAACTGGCTCTGGTGGTTTAATGGATTCGTCCTTGCCTTGCCAATATGATTTTTAGGCAGGTGAACCTCAGTTTAAAAAAAACTGCTTCAATTTTTAATTAACAAATTTTATTAGAAGCATTCGGAATGCCGACAAAACAGCTACAACCTTTTTTGCCATTAGATTGGTATTCGGTTAACAGAACAACATTGATTTCATATAAGCTGCATCAGAGACACCTGAAGATGAAAATCACGTTCTCCATGAACAACTAATCCGTGCAGAGCACCAACAAGAGCCTGCTTTAACCCTCCCCGCCAAGGCACAGCCTGTACCAGGCCAGGCTCGTGGCTGGTAGGCCAGCAGGACAGGGCTATCTGAACACACACTCGTTAATGCATTAACTCTGCAAAAACAGACACTGTGCAGTTTAAAAACACTCTTACCCAGCCTTACATTTCCATTTTTTTCTTTAAAAGGAGTGAGTTCTATACAGGGGGTTAAATGCTTTATAGACAAGAAAAAAACTGCACTAGAAGCAACTTATTCATCATCTTCATCTTCCTCATCTTCCTTCTCTTTCTTCTTTTTCCTGCTTATTTCAGCCTTGTCGGCTGCCTCCTTTGCCACATCAGGCTTTCCTTCGGCTCAGCCTGCAGCAACACCCTTCACGGATTCCTCCTGCAGCGGAGCCGCCTCCCCTTCCCCAGGCTGCTCGCCCCACAGCCCTGATTCCCTGTCTCTCCCAGCTGCTCCACAGCACCACTCGTGGATGGGCTGGGACGGGGTCCTTTGATTTTTGGACGAACCAAGGAGACGAACAAAACAAGAAGGCTGGAGGAGGCCTCTTGGGTGCTCCGGGATCCTTCAACTGCTCTCTCGTTTCCCCTTCAGGAGGGATATTAGTCTTCACTTCTCTTTCACAGGGGGCCTTGTCTGCCCTTGCCACATATCCGGATTTCTCTTCTCTTCAGCAGACATGCTGCTCCATCTCTCTGAGGACTTCTCAGGAACTCGGAGAAGCTGCCTGAAGCATCTGGGTGCTTCTTCTCATGCTCCTCTCAGCGAGTTTGCACAGAGAAAGCATGTGATGACATTTTGCCTCTCAGCTTCTGAAGATCTCCTCAGCCTATGTTTAATCACTTTTCTCCCTGCCACCTGACCCCAGGAATCTTGGAACAAGAGGCGAGGGAAGAGGTGGCACGTGCCTGGGGCCACCAGGGTGCCCTCCTTCCCAATTCTGTGGGACTTGCCAAAGGAGAAGCTCTGTCCAAAATGGGGGCTGGCTCCTCCTACAGCCACCAGCCCAGAACTAAATCGCTTCCTTTTTAAATCAAGACCAAATGGGTGCCACCAACTTTCTGGTACCAACTCACTTCTCCCATAGCAGGGCTGTGTCCCTCTCTCTTCCCATAGTTATCTCAAAATTTGGGCAGAAAAAAAAATGTTATGTTCTTTTCCAAATACCTTCAAGGACTTTCAATTCAATTCAGCCAATAGGGACTGGGAGCTGGAGTGGTTCACAGCCCTCTGCTAAGCTCCAGCACTTGGCCCTGACACTTGGCTGCCCTGGCTTGTCCGCCAGCCCACTGGGGACAGGCGGGAATAGCACACTGGCTCTGTGCTCCCACAGCATCCCGTGCCAGCACCAAAATAATACCTGTGACACACACTGAAATCCTGTTTTCCTCTCCCACTAGACCGTAAGCTGGTAGAGGAGAGGGACCACACGGCTCAGCCATCCCTGCAGCCCAGGCAGCTAGCACAGTTCCTGGTGCAAAGAGGTTGGTTCCACAAGACAAGTGAGTCGAACCAAACAGAGACCAGTTCCAGTTCCCGCCCATGAGGATGTCATCACCCAGAGAGGTCCCCGGCTTAGCTGTAAATCAGTGCACCTGCTGTGGCCATCATTCTGTCTTGAGAAACACAGCTGCTTTGGGATTTATATTTCCTGTCTGGACGCACACCATGGGCAGTGTTCTGGCAAACCCTCTCCCAGGAGGATCTGGCATTGTGTCTCCACATAATGAGCCGTCCCTATTTTTTCTTCCCATCTTCCTTACCGCCAGAGACAGGCAGGTGAGGGTGCACTCTATGGAACCTTGAGACTGTATCAGCCAGCTGGCATAAATACCCGGTCCCCCTGCCTGGCAACTCCAACACTGCCCGTCAGTTGCCCCCTGCACGCCCAAACAGGACTGGTCAGACTGGTGTTTCTGGGTGTCCGCCACGAGGGGTGTGGCCTGCACAGCGCAGCAGCCCCACCTGAGAATAATCCGAAGGTACTCAATGCCCTCCGCCTCCTCGCACTTGATGGACAGGAGCAGGTTCCCCAAACTGCTGCCGGTGCAGTAAAAGTTTAGATGATCCTGCAAACAGAAATCAGGTGGTGTTAGCAGGAAGGAGGGGGACCTTCTAGGGACCATCCCCCCAAATCACCTCCTTTACCAGGAGTGAGAAGCCCATAGCACGTAGGAAGAGAAGGATGCCACAGCAGTGGCTGCTACAGATGAGGAGGGAGAGGCGGAAGAAGGGAGAGAGGAGAACCCCCACCACCAAGTGCACGGGCCGTCTGTGCCAGGCACTGAGCTAAGGGCCGTTGTCTCCTTTAACCCAGACCAGAACTTCATGGGGGAGAAAGCACCACCACCCCCGCTTCACAGATGGAGAAAACATGTTCGGGGAGGTTAAGTAACTATCCAGGGTCACATTGCTGGTACAGGATTCAAACCCACACCCGTCTTGACTGAAGCTCAAGTTCTTCACACAGTGCACTGAGTCCACTCCAACGCTCCCAGGGGGCGGCCCCTCCAGTTCGGACTGTCAGTGAGAATAAAACTAGGAGGAACCCTGGTGCCTCTGCCCACGTGGAGCAAGGAGATCTCTGGACAGTGGGGCTCCCCCTGGCTCAGGGGGCCCACCCAGAACTGCTATATCAGGCTGGCATTTTAACAAGGCAGGGGGCAGCAGGGGGGCAGCAGGAGGGGAGGGTGGGCCCCGCTCCATCTCCATCCTATGAGACCCAGGAAAGCTGACTTAGGCTGGAGACTTCCAAAATCTGCCCTCAGAACTTCTGGAACCTGGCAGGTCTGAAGGGCAGAATATATTTGAAGAAATGAAACTGTCACTGCTAAGCAATTGGAGGCTCACAGCATATCATCCAGTACAAGCACCCAGGGACCAGCTTGAATGTGTGAGAGATTTGTACTGTTTAGATGGAAACAGACACTTCAAGGTGTGAGAACATATTTTTTCCTTCCACCCTCCTTCACCCCCCAAACACTACCCATTCCATCTCCGAGAACATTTGCTGGAGGTGGTCCCCACAAGGGCCCATCACACTGTGCCTTCCAGACTTCTGCAAACCGGGAGCAGGGCCAGTCAGGCCTCCCCAGGGTGGACAGAGACTGGCAGCATGGAAAGGGTGCAGAGAGGGGCAGGTGACACTGGAGAGGGACACTGGGCTCCCCACACAGACCCCCTCTGGCAGTGGTGCTTCCCCGGGGCCCCTCAGCCTCACCTGCCCTAGGAAGTGCCTGCGGTAGGCCCTGGCTTCACTCTTGCACTCGAGCTTGTAGCCGAAGGTGCTGGGGCTGAGGCTGTCTTCATCCTCCTCCTCGCAGACGCTGCTGCCCAGGGAGGTCGGCGTGCCCACGTTCTCTGGGTCCTCGATCCAGTAGCCCCCAAACTGGGGCAGGACGACCAGGGGATATGGGCCTCCCTTCCCCACAATCTGGAGGTAAAGGGAGTGTCTGGCACTGCAGCCTGCCCTGGGTCTTCAGGGGCAGAGGAGGGGCCCCAGGGGTGGGGTGCCCCCACCTCTGAACCTCTCCATGGAGGGCACCCCCACACATGAGGCCAAAGGCAATCCTATGAACCCCTCCTGCGAGCCCCACAACAGCTCCAACCTCAGCACTCCCAATGTCACCCAGAGAAAAAGCTGAAGTCACACAGGGGCAAGGCCTCAGGCCTCAGGCTGCAGGTCGCAGTCCCAAGGCTCTCGCCCCATGGGGTGGGACAGGGACCCCATCATCACCATCAGCGCCCCCAACCCTGCCCCGGAGACAGGATCCAGGGGGCTCCTACCTCGTCAATGCTGGGGTACGGGATATAGTCATCCTACAAGACAAACGTGCCACTGTTAGTGCCACAGTGCCCAGCAAGTGTGACCACTGTTTCTATCGGCGCCCCAGGTCCGGGGAGCAGGTGTGCTGGGGGTGCCTGGCAGGCACACGAGGGCTTTGGGAGCAGCAGCGGGAAGAACACCAGATGGATGAACAGCCCAGAGGCAGCTCTGGGCTCGGGCTTTCTCATGAGGTTGTCCCCAAACTGGCAGAACCTGAGTGCAAAGCGGCTGGCAAAAAAATGCAGCACACAGAGAAGGAAGATGCAGCACGCGGAGCAGGAAGATGCAGCACACGGAGCAGGAAGATGCAGCACACGGAGACGCTGAACTTCACCCCCCCCCCACCCTCCTAGCTTCTCACCCTAGGAGGCTGCCACAGGGAGCCGGCCGTGGCCCACCCAGCACCCCCTCCAGGAGAGGGGGCTGACCTCCAAGTGAAACACTGCACCCCTGAGCCCCAGACATGGAACCTGAGCTGAGAGCCGACACTGCTGGAGCCTGGGCCCTAAACGCCGCGTGTGGTTCCTCTCACGGGAGCGGAGTGGAGGAGCCAGCCCTTCGGCCTCCCCGAGGCCTCCACCCTGGCCTGCTCTGAAGCGGCCCACCGTGCCCTCAGCAACAAAGCTGCGGCCACTTGAGTGGCTCTCGGCAAAAACTGGAGTTGGATGGTGTAAGACAGAGACCCCAGCATGCAGGCCGTCCCCCTGCCTTCCTCTCACACGGCCCCCTCGCCGGGCCCGCCTGGCTGCCACCTCACCCACCCAGCCCACCTTGTTCTTCGGGGGTCCCGGCTTCTGCTCTTCAAGCTTGATCCCCTGCAGAAACAAGGAAAAGAGGATCCATAGAAAAGCAAGGGCCACAGAACAAAGACCAAACAAAGAGAGTTCCTTAGAAGCACTTGCCTTAGCTGGCGGTTAGTAATAACAACAGCAATGGCTGCCATGCACGGGGCCCTTACACGTTACACACCTTGTCACTCTCAGACCTCACAGCGGCCCAGGTGAGGCAGCAGGTCAGGGGGGTAAGAGATGGACTCAGCCAGACCCCAGAGTTCAAATCCCAATACTGTCACTTAGGACCATATGATCCTGGGCAAGTCACAAAACCCCCCTGTGGCTCAGTGCTCCCATCTGTAAAATGTGAACAATAAAGGCACCTACTATGGTGGTGAAGGTTCAATGTAGATAACACGTTAAGTAAGCCCCTGAAAGAGTGACTAGAATGTAGTAAAAGCTGTGACTTATTATTGTCACCAGGCCGGCTGTGTTCTCACCGTGGTGCTACAATGGCTCCCCAGACTCTGAGGGTGAGGCGGGAAGCAAAATGAGAACCACGTCTGCGGGGGTCAGAGCCAGCACTCCGGACCCCACACCACACCAGCTCCACCCCCACCCCCAGTGGGAGGTGCCACAGGTGGCAGACGGGTGGCCTGGTCCTCATTCCGCCACTGTCTTGCTATTGGTGACCCTGGACAGCGTTGAGCCTTGTGCGGCCTTCACAGCTCCATTGTGAAATGAGGGCTCTAACGCCCGTCCTCCCACCTGCCGTCGTGTGGCTGAAAGACCGCACTCCATGCGGAGCCTGGACCAGACGGGCTCCCGCAGGCTTCAGGCGTCAGGAGGACTCCGTGCTGGGGAACAGGGCCTCGGCCTGCAGTCGGGCTCCGACTTAACTGGGTTTTGTGGGTGGAGAGGACACGGTGTTCCCACAACTGTGTGTTAATTTATAAATCCCATAAGGGTATGAGCTGGTGGGACAACTGGGAGAAACTGGTCCCCTCTGGGGAGGAGAGTTCCGGAGCAGCCCCTGCCTAACCATATAACACAGGGGACTTGAACCTGCCACGCCCACCCCTTTGTTGTCTCCTTTGAAGCCCTTGGCACCTCTCCAGGAATGAGAAAACTGAGGCCCAGGGAGGAATTTGCTCGCCTAATGTCACACGGCTAGCAAATGGCAGAGCCTGGCTGTGAAGTCAGGCCACCTGACCCCCAAGTGCATGACCAAATCCCACAGCTGGTGGAGCGCAGGGCTCCTGCTCCCTCAGTGGACCTAGACCTCGGCTTCTCAGGACTTCTCTGAGCTGAGTCACCCCACAGCGCTGGTCAGGTGGGCGTGGGAGGGTCTCTCCCACTGGAAAGGTGCTCCTCTCCCCACAGGGAGAAAGCCACCCGGGTGGGCCAGCAGACTCTGTCCAGGCAGGCAAACTGAGCAGATGGGGAAGGGGGTGACGTCAGAAGTTTGTTTTGTTTGTCCTGCATTAGCTGTTCCAGCCTGGGAACAGCCCCTGGGCAGGAAAACTACAGCCTCCCGTCCCCGCCCCTCCCCTGTGACAGGGCCGCCACCCCACCACCTGGGCCCTCTCCCCTACTCGGTCTGTCATCCTTTGCAACAGGCACTGTCATCATCTCTCCTCCCCCCCAGCCATGAAGAAACTGAGGCTCAGAGAGGTAGAAGGACTTGACCAAGGTCACTCAGCTAGAGAGTGTCAGGGTCAGAACCCAGAAAGGAAGGGTGACCCTGGCCTCTGTTGCTTCGCAAAGACTGCGCCCTTCTTCAAAGGGCTGGGTCAGGAGTCCCGCACCTCAGCTTCAGCTCCTCACAATTCACAAAGCGCTTTGGGCCTCGGTCTCCACAACAGCAGCATGAGGACGGAGGGCGCCCACACGTAAGGACAGAATCGGTCTGTGCCACCAGCTCTGTCTCCACCGGTTCCCCATGTATGAGCTCCCTAAACACAGGAGTTGGGAGCCATGGGCCCCTCCGAGGCTGCGACACAGTAGGGACCTGAACACTGGGAAGTCCGATTTAACTCCCAGCAGCCTCAGCGGACACGAAACGGTGAACCACCCAGGCTGTCAGTGGCCGTGAAGAGCCAGAGGGAGCAAAACGCCAGACTCCTGCCCTGCAGGGGCTCCCAGTCTGCTTTAGGAAGTCAAGCCGAGCAGCCTCAAAACAACAGAATAACACAAGGCTGGTCAAAGAGGGCTGAATTACGTGCTGAAACAGAGAAACAGGGCGCTCCACTGGGGGAGGGGTGGCAAGGGATGGGTGGCAGTGGGAGAAACCAGGGAGGAGGCGGGGTGAGCTGCCAAACCCCTGCTAGCTAGTGCCAGGATTCCATGGGCTGGGGTGAGAAATCCCAGCTTTGCTCTGGGGAAGAGCACTTCATTCACCCCAGTTTCTGGCTGCTCGCTGTCAAGGTGAATGCCGTGCTTGTCTCCACAACTTGGCTGTAAGTTCCCTGAGCGCCTACAGATACACGTGAGGTTAGTCTGTCGTCCACACTCTGCTGGGCACAAAGGAGGATCTTAGTGACTTGCTCACAATAACGACACAATCACTAATAATACTTTCCCCCTAAATGGTCCCTCCCCTTCCACGTCCTTAGGGAGACCTGCCTTTCCAGCGAGGACCTCGCTCACAGCAGCAGCCCCTCAGGAGCTCCACCTGCATCTCAAGACAGCAGTGGCTGCCCTACCCGCCTCACTTCCTAGACCTTCCGGGCCAATTCCTGTAGAAAGAACCCTCCTTCCTTGGGCCTGGAGCATCTGCTCTGGGTAAAAGGCATGATATAATGACTAAGCCTTCTGGCTCTGAGGCTTCTCAGCAGTCATGAGCCCTCGAGTATTTAATATCTCCGTGCCTCAGTTTCCTCACCTGTGAAATGGGGATGATGACGACAACAACAGTGTACCTACTTCCTGGGAGCCTTGTCAAGAAGAAACGAGATGACATCCGTCAATCTCTGACCCCAGACGAGTGCTTAAAATACATGTGCTATTACCAGTATGCTCTTCCCACTCTTCTACCTGCACCAGTGAAACCTTCTGGTCTTCTCCCCTTACCCCCTAGCGCATTGCCAGGTCTTACCTGTGAGCCCTCCTGACCCCTTGGTGATGAGGAATTACAAAGGCCCCCCAAATCCACCCTGAACACTGATTTCTAAGCAGTGCCTGCCAAGTATTCACACACATATTGTCATCTCACTTCATCCGAGCAACAAGGGGGTACTGTTATTCTTATTTATTTATAGAAGCCAGATACTGGGATTTGTCCTAAGAAATACATATGTTGGTCTTCATCCCATTCCTGGCACAGACCCCCAGCAACCCGGGGAATTCCCTGAGCGATAAGTTCGATGAGGGCATTTGGCAGCACTTCTATTATAATATTTGGCCTTTCGTTCCTGCAACAGCCCCTGAGCCATAAAGGTGAAAGGATTGTTATTAGTGAGTTTGTGTTAATGAGGTGACTTTGGGGACTTTCCTGAGGATGGGAGCAGGTTCAGGGGAACCAACCACAACCAAAGGGCTGGAACTTTCAGTCCTGCCCACCCCCAACCTCTGGGAGGGGAGAGAAGCCAAAGGTTGAATCAATCAATCAGTCAGTCGTGCCTAAGTAATGAAGCCTCCATAAAATCCAAAAGGATGGGGTTTGGAGAGCTTCTGGTGTTGGTGAGCCACAGGGAGGTTTGGGGAGAGCGGTGCACTCAGAGGGCGGTGGAGCTCTGAGCCCTCCCACCCCCCGCCCTCTGCATCTCTCCCGTCTGTCTATCCCTGAGTTATATCCTTTTATAATACACCAGTAATCTAGTAAGCAAAGTGTTCCCCTGAGTTCTCTCAGTCACTCTAGCAAATTAATTGAACAGGAGAAGGGGGGTCGTGGGAACCTCCAGTTTATAGCCGGTGGGTCAGAAGCACAGGTGACAACCTGGACGTGCGACCAGCATCTGAAGCGGGGCAGCCTGCGGGCAGCGCCCTCACCCTGTGGGACTGGACACTAACTCCAGGTAGAAGGTGTCCTCGGAGTTGAGGGGAATGGTCGGACACCCAGCTGGTGTCGCAGAATTGTTTTGTGGGGTGGGGAAAAACAGCCACTCGTTTGGCGTCAGAGTAAGGTGAGACTAGTGTTGTGAGCAGACAAAACACAGGAGCGAGAGGCTCAAAGAGCGGAAGGAATTTGGCAAGCTGGTGTTAGATGCAGAATGTGAACGCAGGTCTGCCTCACCCACAGCTCTGACTCCCAGACACAAGATGAGTCTCCCAAGAAGGGGCTTTTTTCCAGGCCTTCTTCCCAACCCATTCTAGGAATGTCACTCAAACCTTCCCCACGTTTGTGGGGTTCACAGCATCCATCTGCTCTGCTGGGGGTTTTGCTGTTTCTCTTCTCCCTGTTCTTCAGGCTGGAGCCACCCCAGGACCCTTGGTGCCATTCAGCACGGAAACTGCCTCAGGTCGTCCGGGCCGAGGGCACTGTGAGTCCTCTCTCCTCTGCCCCCCCCCCCAGGTCCCCACGTTCTGCCTGTGGGTTCGGCCGGGGTGGTGTCCTCCCCACCCCAGGGTGCGGCTTCCCCACTTTGGGGATGCTCACCTGCATTTTCTCCAACATCTCGAAGAACTCCGCCGACTGAAAGACACAAAAGGAAGAGAATATGGGGCGTCAGCCCGCAGGTCTGCAAGCGTACACAACCCGGGGTTTCCCCAGAGACAAAACATATTGGGACCAGGAGAGAAGGTCGTTGATCTCACCTTCGCAGAGCTGGAGGGCCAGAACACCCCAGGCAACAAAAGAGAAAATAAGACAGTGGACTGGCGAGTGACCCCACTCAGAGCAGTGCTCCTCTCCATCAGGACAGAGGACCCTGTGGGGCCTCTGAAAATCCAAGTTCCCCCAAACACCTGCCAGTCCTGGCAGCTGGCCCCCAGCAGGACGGTGTTTGGGATGTTTTCAACCCGACGGGGTTCAAGATGTCCACCCCAGGCGCTTGCTTTTCTAACTGCTTTGCCAACAGAGCCCTCCATCTCCTCGTACGAAATCTCACTTAGGTCTCTAACGTATAAAAACAATGAGCCCGGGCCCGGGGCTCAGGCAGTTAAAGTGTCATTCTCTTCGCTGAAGGGCTGCAGGTTCGTTCCCTGGTCAGGATGCTCAGAGGAGGCAGCCAATCCCTACTTATTTCTCTCTCATACCAACGTCTCTCTCCCCCTCCCCCTCTCTCTAAAGTCAGTGGAAGCACGTCCCTGGGTGAGGGTGGATAGAGAGATAAAATTAAAGCAGCGCCACTCTGGCCAGGGCAGCGGCGGGGCTGGAGCCCTGCACGTGCCGTCCCCGCCTGCCCCTATCGGGCGCTGAGCGCGTGAAGCCAAGTCTGGAGCCACTGAGCAGCAGCCTCCCAGGGCCTCAATGGGTTACCTTAAAAATCTAAAACTACGTAAATCCAAATCTTTAACCTACTTTGGTGCCACCTTTATAAACTCCAGGGAAGACGAAAAGGGGGGAAAAGAAGTGGCATGAAGGGGTGAGGGGCTGAGAGCTCCATGGCTCCCTCCGAAGTTTCCCTGCTTCCCACTCGGTGGTAACAGCCACACCTTCACGGCCCACCTCTGGGCCCTGGTAAGCTGTGAGTGACTGTGTGCCCAGAACAAACAGTCACCAGGAAAAATAGGAAAGACTAGAAAGCAGAGATAAGGAGGACCAAGTATATGCCCTTGTCACTTCTTCACGCAGAGGGAGAGTGTCCAAATGCCTTCCCCTGCACCAACGTCCGAGCCACCTGGAGCCCCTGCCGCCCTCAGAATCCTCAGAAAAGAACCTCTGTGGTGGGGACCCCTGGGGTGAGACCCAGCCCCGCTGCTGGCTCCACGTGACCGCTCCCGGGCTGATGCTGACCCACCAGCAGGTCAGGTCCCAGGGTCGGAACCCCCACGTGTGAACATATAGGACTGACAAGCGAGGGGCACCTGCACAGTGTCCTTGACCAGAAGCAGCCACAGAACACCCAGCTCCCAAATGTGTCCTTCCCACAGGCTCTGGCCATTCCTACCGATTCCAGTCTCCAAGAGACCAAGCTGACAAGGCATACAGAACCTACATCAATCAGTAAGGATAGAAAGAGTAATAGAAAGAGAATAAGGAGCAGAAACATCAACATTTTAAGTACACAGACCTCGGCCCCAGCAATTCCACTTCTGGGAGTCTATGCTATAAACACAGTTACACATATATGCAAAGGTAGATACAATACATGTTCTTTGTAGCACTGTCTGTAACAGCAAGAAACAGAAACAATTTAACTGTCAATCTGCAGGAAACTGGTTAGAATAAAATACAAATGCTATGAGCAACTACGTGTCAATAAATTAGATAACTTAAATGAATTGGACAATTCTCAGCAATACACAAAACTGACTCAGGAAGAAATAGAAAATCTAAAAAGATGTACAATTTAAAAAAAAGAGAGAGAGAGCCCTGGCTGGTGTAGCTCAGTGGATTGAGTGCGGGCCTGCAAACCACACGGTCGCTGTTCGATTCCCAGTCAGGGCACATGCCTGGGTTGCAGGCCAGTTCCCAGCAGGGGACTCATGAGAGGCAACCATACATTGATATTTCTCTCCTTCTCTCCTTCCCTTCCCCTCTAAAGATAAATAAATAAAATAATAAATAAAAAATTAAAAAGAGAGATTCAGTTAGTAATAAAAAATGACCACAAAGAAAAGCCCAGTCCTGATGGTTTCAGTTGTGAATTCTACCATTTAAAGAAGAGTTAATGCTAATTCCTCACAAACTTTCCCCCAAGTAGAAGGGAAAATGCCTCCCAACTTATTCTATGATGCTGGTTTACCCTGACACCAAAACCATCACAAGTAAAGAAACCTACAGACCAATATGACTTGTGAATATAGATGCAAAAATTCTCAACAAAATACTAGCAAGTGGAATTCAGTAACATATAAAAAACAATTATGCATCATGACCAGCTGGGATTTATCCCAGTAATGCTAGGTTGGTTTAACAAACAAAAGCGAATGAATGTAATATACCACAGAACAGAATAAAAATAAAAACCACATTATCATTTCAATAGACATAGAGAAAGCATTTGACAAAATCCAAAACCCTTCCTTGATTAAAAAAAAGAAAAGAACACTCAACAAACTAGGAACAGAAGGGAAGTTCCACAACATGATAAAGTACACCTACAAAAAACCGCACAGCTAACACCACACTTAATAATGAAACACTGAGTACTATGTCCACAAAGTAAGGAACCAGACAAGAATATCCATTCACCCCACTTTTATTTAACATTGCACTTGATGTTGTGACCAGAGTAATTATGCAAGAAAACTATATGAAAAGCATCCCAAATTGGAAAGGAAAGGTGAAACTATAACTGTAACAGTGGAAAATGGTAACAGAGAACAACTGTAACCCACTCACATCTCTTTCGATAGTGATTCTGTTGGTGTGGACTCTGACTAATGAGTACCTTGTAGATAATCAGCACACGTTTGTATAGTAATCCTAGGAACTAACTTTAAAAGATACAGATTCTGACCTTCAGGCATCCCAGCTCTGGGAGCTTTGCTGACCTTCAACTGTGGAGTAGAGCCATAGAGCCACAGTGACGTGAAGCCACAGTGACGTGAAGCCAGGATGACACACACCTGACCATGACCTGCCTTATGGACTGGCCTAGTGTGCACGTAGACAACTTTTCAACACCCCCCCTTCATCTCTTTGGTCTGTTGCCCTCTGCCTCCAGTGAGAAGTGGAGATGGGTTTTGGGACGTGAGTCCCCCATCTTCCAGGTGGTCGGCACCTGAAAATGAACGACTTTCCATCAGTGCCTGCCTCCTAAGTATTGGCTTTCATAGCAGCAGGCAGTCGGACCTGCTTTTGGTTACGAAACCATTTCTATTTACAGATGATATGGTCTTGTATACAGAAAAAATCCTAAAGAATTCACTAAAAAAAAAACATTTAGGACCAATATAAATGAGTTCAGCAAGGTTGCATGATATAATAATCAACTGCATTCTTATACACTGTTAATGAACAATCCCATTACAATTACAATAGCATCAAAGAGAATAAAACACATGGGTGTAAATTTAACAAATGAACTGTAAAACTCTGAAAAGTACAGAGCATGGATGAGAGAAATTAACCAGGTTCTAAATAAACAGAAACAAATGCCGCGATCTCAATTAGAAAGTTAGTAGACAGAGGTGGCACACTCTCCAACAAACCTACAGGGTCAACATGGCCTCTAGCGCGACCCCAGCCAGGTCCTTTCCAGGAAGGGGGAAGGTGGCCCCAAAACTGATGTGGACACTCCCAGAGCCCAGAATATCCAACCTTTACTGAAAAGGAAAAACAAATGTGGAGTGCTTTCACTTCCCAATTTGGAAGCTTACTACGAAGCAAAATTAATCAAGATAGTGTGATACTAACATAAGAATAGACATGGAGATCAATGGAATAGTAGTTGGAGTCCAGAAATAAATCCATATATTTATGACAATCAATTTTCAACGAGGGTGACAAGACTGCTCAAAGGGGTCTTTTCAGTAAATTGTGCTGCAAAAACTGGAGAGTCACATCACATACAAAAATTAAGCAAATATGTTAAGAGGTAGAATTATAAAAACTCTTAGAAGAAAACAGGAGTAAATCTTTGTGACCTTGCATTTGGCCATGGACTCTTTGCTATGATACCCAAAACACAAGCAATAAAAGAAAAAAAGTGAATTAGACTTGGCCAAAATTAAAAACATTTGTACTTCAATAACCACCATTAAGAAAGTGAAAAGACAACCTACAGAATAGGAGAAAATATTTGCAAACCATATATCTGATAAGGGACTTGTATCTAGAACATATAAAAAATTCTTACAACTCAGCCCTGGCCGGGTGGCTCGGTTGGTTGGAGCATCGTCCCACACACCAAAAAGGTTTCAGGTTCGATTCCCGGTCAGGGCGCACACAGGAGGCAACCAATCACGTGTCCTGAACGATGACGCTCCAGGGCCTCAGGGCTGGCACAGGGGGCGAGATGACAGGGAAAGAGCCGCGATCCAGCCTGGCCCTATGCGACCCGCTGCGTGGCCGATTCCTGCAGGGACAGTGCCCAGGAGCAGGGACCGGCAGCCAGGCCTCAGCAGGGCTGGCTCCGCTCCTTGGTGACTGGCTGGAATTTCCAAGGGGACAGTTCCAGCCCTGGCAAAGAGTGAGTCTCCTCCACCTAGCAGCAGGGTGACTCAGGCCAGCCTGGAACAGCGGCTCCAGCCACTCGGACCCACCCTGGTCCACACCCCCTGAAATTGCTGCCCACAGCCAAGGGCACACAGCAAGCACTCAATAAGTGCTCACTGACTCACTGGTGTTTGTCCCACAGGCCCGTTAGGACACAGTGAAGCCCTGCCGGGGGCACCCTTAGGAAGGGGATTCCCCTCCATGAAGAAGCCAGGTACTGGATTGTCACAGAGAAATGTAATCCGGCCTCCCCGTCAATAGTGGCCTCCACTCAGCTGTCTAATTTATTATTAGCAGCAGCTGTTGCCACGCAAGTCAGAGCCACGGCCAGCATTGCCCCACGGGCATTGCTCCAACAGCCAGCCAAG